AAAGTGAAAATTGAACAAAATATTTCTTAGCAATTAACTCACCCAAAGTGTTGTAGGGAGCTTTAATTTCAGAGCATAACAATTGAGTATTTTTCTTGTTCTTATACAAAAAATGACGAATTTCTTTAACGCCAGCAGCATTCAAATCAATTCCTCGATTTTTCATGCCTCCGTTGATCGCCTCGAGACAATTTAATTTCTTAAGTTTTTCTGTGATATTCTTTTTTGCGTTGGAAAGTGTGAAGAAAGATTCACTGTCAGCTGAGAGAAGAAGTAAACAAGCTTCACAATCATCATCAAGATATGAAACATGAGCATGAAGAAATCCATTTGTGTTAAATTTTGGTAAACAAATTGGAGTCCAACTTTCGGCTGTTTTAAAGCTTTCCGTACATTCCACAAGATTAAAAATTATTCGGAGATCGTCAGTATGCATGCAGTAGGTTTTCATCCTTACAAGTGTCACGAGCTTGTTGTTTGCCAAAAGAACAGCAAAAACAAGATTTTTGATTTTCGAACAATTCGATTGAATTGTTGATGTTATTGAATCACGAATACTTGACTCAAGTGGAAGAATTCTAACTGAATGTGTAAGTGGCACAAAAGGATTATTAGAAATTTTCTTATGCGTTTCATTCCTCAGTAGAAAATCAACAAGTCGCTCTGATCCAGCTAGTAACTTCCTTAAGTCATAATTATTGCGTTTCTCATAAACACTGCTCATATGACTTAATGTAACAATGGAAATGATTTGATTGTAAACATCCCTAAATATTTGTGAAAGAGATATGCTGATAAGCAAGATGATAAGAAACAATAAATATGAAACTTACATTAATTGATTTAAAATTTGCTGCTCGCTTCGTTGTGCTTTATTGACTCCAACAAGAATTAAAGGATTTTTAACAAAAAATACAAATTTCGTAGCTTTAACTGTTATACTTCTTATAGAATCATCACTTGACTGTACAACTGACACCAAAGCTTGAAGGAGTCCAAATAGAGTATTCAACTTTTCTTCTGATCCATGTAGGGAATAAATTGGTTTTCCAGCTGTGCTTAAGATGAAAACATGACACCTTTGATTGATCCATTCTGAGTCATGTAAATAATCATATTCTTCATCAATGAAATTTAATGAACTCGAACTAGGATCTGTGCTTGTTAAATCAGAATTTACAATCTCTTGATCACTTTCTGATTGTTTACTTGAATGTTTTAAACTTTCTACGTTATTCTCTTCAAAGTTATTATCGCTTATCGCATCAACTAATGCACAATCTTCGTTTTTTGAGTCATCCTCGTCTGATTCATTTGAAAAGTAGCTTGACTCACTCATCTTAAATCATAAAAGTTTTCTACTTTTTTTTTTATTATTTATGTTAAATTTGGTGGTGAAAATTTTGGTGAAAAGTGGTGAATAGAAAGAAGATGCAAAAATTTGAGGGAGTAGGGCAAGTGACGATATTTCGAAACAACCTAGGAAAATCTTTTAATGGAAATTTCTTTTATTTTTGATAAAAATATGTTCAAGGAATACTCTCAAGTTAAAATTTCTGCTTTGACTGACGTAGTGTCATTATCGCTTGTTTAATCTTATCGTCCTGCATTAGTTTTTGTTTAAGAGCATCTTTTTCCTTTTCTGATAAAGGTTGTGACACAACTTCAACTTTTTGAGTGATTTTCTCCAGTATTGGTTTCTTATTAAGAATCTCAAGAATTTTCTTCTGTAAATCTGCTTTTGGATCCGACACAGGAAGAGATTTAGATGTAGAGGGTGTTGGAGTTGGATTGTTAACAGTAACTTGATTATAACTTGGCGTTGTGTCCATAGCATAATCAACGTCAGCAGCATCTTCGCCAATTTCTGCTCTTCTTTGTACCTCACGCCTTTGACTTAAATATTTAATTATATGATCATATTGTAGAACTGTCAGGGATCGGTTGTCAGCTAATGTTTTTAAAAGCGTTTGAATTGCATCGGGATGATGATAAACGTTGTGCGATATTCTTTTTGTTTTGTTGATGAAATCTTTGTAAATGAATCTTATAGCATCATCTAATGGCATGTTTCGGTGCTCGGATGCATCACCATAAAGAATCTACAAAAAGAAGTGAGAAATGAGCTTATGAGAGATAATTAAATTTAAATACTCACTGTTAATGTTAAACTATTCTGTTCCAAGTTTACTGGCAATATCAAAATAGCGTAGAGACATCCTCGTGATTGAATGTTACCCAAAACCTTATTGATGGGTACTTGATCATTGGGGAACATGAGATCGACTCGAATTCCAAGCATCTTAAGTTGTCGTTCGATTTCTTCAGCGTAGTTTCTAAAAAGTAAAAATGGTTTTAATTTAAAAGATTTCCTGAATATCTCATGTAAACTTACGTTAAATTTTTAGATACAACAATTATTTCGCAATGATTTACATCTGAATCATTATTTGTCGGGCCCATGATTGAATTATTTCCGTAATATTCATTTGCTTCAGAAAAGTATTCTAAAATTAATTTCTTGATATTATTAATGAAAACAAACTTAATATCAATTTGTTTACTTTTGTTCATGGGTTCAAATTCTTTCGTCTCTTGAATTTCAGTTGAGGGAAGTTTGTGTTTTTGACTCTTCATTTGAGCAGATTTAACTAAAATTCATTGACCGCCTAAGAATGATCCATTTTCAGCTTGAATAGCATTGAAAAGATACATAAGAAATACGAATAGTTAAATGATTAATGAAACTTACCTGCCAGGTTGATCATATTGAAGAAAAGCGAATCCTGGATGAGTTCTCTAAATCCCAACAATTTTTCCATAAGGAGAAAACTTTATACTTATTAATAAATTCTTCAGTTATTCCTTCATTTAAATGACCGATATAAATTCTACATGGTAATGAGTTCGGATCTCTCAGATTAACCTGCTCCATTATCCTTTTATTTTCAGTAAATTGTTGTTTTAGAACCAAATAAAATTTTGTTCAATGACGGCATAGCGATTAAAATTTTATTTGACTATAAAAAGATTATTTTCACTTGTTTGCAAATCGAGACATTAATCGATTGAGAAAGCTTTCAATAAAGCCAGCATATTTACTCAAAATGTTCATTATAAATCTGGCTTAATGATATTTCTTTTATCATCTACTGCTCTACGGTAAAGTTAGTATTTAGATAAAGACAAGAATATAAACACTTTAGTTTATCAATATTTTTTGGCGATTAAACTGCCCATCAACAGGCGATGTTGGCTCTTCGATGATCTTCAATTGCTCTTGAATATAATGTCAAGGATTTTCTGCTTCATATGCGTTGTCAAATAATTTAAAATATA